GGAGCACTGAAGCTCTCCAGGAGCTCACCTCATTCTCTGCCTCTCCTGCTGTGTTTCTTGGTTCTGATCAAGCAGACGTGTTTTTTTTGTTTTGTTTTCCTATGCAACTGTCTCTTACCCTGCTTTATTTGCTTCACTTCTGACTACAAAGCTGGTCAGGCAGAGGATTTCTGCAGAGGGGCGAACAGACAACCAGGGGTTGAAACTAGGATGCAATCAAATGTCACATCTGTCCTCTTAACACCCACAGTTGACCTCGCCTCACATTTCTAAAAGCAGCTTAAAGCGCTTTATTCATGACTATGAAAAGAACCTTAATAGAAACTGCAGAAATGCACCATTCTTCTTCTCTCTATATATCATGTTTTCTGATTTAACCAGGTTTCTGCATGTGAAACTCAGTCTTTCCTGTTAGATGTGTCTAATTTTATTGGGGTTTTGAGCTCACTTTTAAAATCAATTTATTAAAGAATGCGAGACATTTTCTGCCTGGAAAAGCTTGGGGTTAAGATGGGGGGCCAAGAAACATCACCAAGAATCATCATCCCGTATGTGTGATGGTTCATCAGCTGGGAGTGTGATCTCTACCAATGAGAACTTTTGGATGTCAGTTTCTCTCTGATTTTATCTATCAGTAGCTCACATCAGAGAGGAGGAATTGTTTGGCATTGCTTTAGTTTTTCTGAGGTTTGCAGCTGTTTCTTTAAGTCTGGGTTAAGGTTTTACTGCCCACATTTCAATGAAAATGAGAACATTGCAACACCTTGTTGGGTTTTCTTTTTCAGCCATTATGTTACTTATTTGCTGCTCTTTTTGGGATCACTGTGATGCTGAAAACCCATGCTGGTCAACTTTTAGCTGTTGTAATGATTACCTAATGTTTGACACTAAAGTATTTTGACATGCAGGGTTTTTTTTCTTTTAGCCTTTATGGATGATTCAATAATGGAGGTGCCCAGGTGTCCTGGCTGATAAACAAGCCTAGGCCGTCATCCCTCCACCACAGTTGATTTGACATGTTTGGTCACAGCTTCAGCTTCTGTCTTTATTCTGTTACACCACATGCAAGTTTGCATACTGGCGTCATGGTGCCACATGTGTTTTCAGAGATATAAGACATCTTGAAACTTATCCACACAAGATATGCTTGTTTATTTTTTGTGCAGTTTTCTGAGCATAGGTTGTGCTGACCTTAGCGTGGATTGAAGATCACCTTATTGCTTCATAGCCTAAGAAATCATGGAAAATCTTTTAAAGCTTTTACACCACAAAAAGTCTGTTTTATGTTTCTCCTTCAAGTCCCCTTCATAGAGTAACCATAGTTTCTGCAGAAAATTAGATTCAAGACCTCTTACCTGGATTGAAAGAAATAAACATGATCTAAACTTAGAATTTGAGACTTAAGAGCAGATTATACTTCTGCAACTGCACACATCAAATGTCGCTTGGGTCTGGTCGCAAAGTTTTTGCTGCAGTTTTACCGGTATGCTTCTGCACCGTCTGTCTGGAATTTCTAGGGACACACAGCAGTTGCCCGCCAAAGCGCAAGGGGGAGCCTACTCCAGAACTCGCGAGAACTACGGCGGATGGTCACGAGAACTTCAGCGGCACCGGCGGGAGTGTTTATCTTCCAAACAAACAATGGCGCGTCTGCAAGATGTCAAGGGGATGGATCTAGAGTTGCTAGACATCGAAAAGGATATATTTATTTACAAAATTTTTCTGGGGCATCGTATATGTGGTTGTACTTCCGACCTCCTCGGTTAACCTTTCATCGTAGTTGTCCATTGTTCCTCGGTTTTTAAAAATTCATGAAGGACAACCACACAGACAGCCGGAAAGGCATACCAAGGACCAATCGCAGCTGCTTTTTGTCTGCGCACTTCCGCTTGATGTCTGCGTGGGTTTGCGACCATCTGACACGTAGTCAGGATTGTTTTGAGGTGTATGACAACGGTTCAGAACCTCGGTGCAGGGGGCGTGGTCACGCACAGAGACAGATTTGACAGTTGCAGAGGCTATGCGTCAGAAGCATAAATTGGCCTTTAGACCGGTAAACTTGTAGTTTCCTTCCATTCTGGCACACGTTGTTCAGGAAATCTCCTAACAGGAAAAAAATGCTTTCTCTAGGTCAGGAGAGAGACATCATTGTTCTGGTGTTTAGATTTGTTTTCTTCCAGCTGCTGCAGCATCTAGGCCAGAACGGTCCTCCTGTGGCAGTCCTAGGTATACACATGTAGAGGCGATTATGTGGTTTCGACACGATGGCTTTTTGGAACTGAGCCCTGAGGAGAGATTCTCTTTTCTAAGGCCGTTATTGTTCAGCTTGTGTACTGCTGATTCCCATCCCAAAGGAGAGCAAAGGATGTTGTCACCTACGCATCTGGCATTAGTTTGCCAGAAAAGCCGTGGATTGAGTCTGGATTACTGACGCCATGTTTGCTGAATAATTATTGTCTCTGGTTGTTCCATGCTTATTTTCTTTTTCTCCCTCTCACCAAATGCTCCTTTCTTTTTCTTTTTTGTCCCCTAACCACCACCAGTACCATTAGTAATCTGCTCTGCAGCCACTGTTGGCACCACCCACCTCCTGCTACAGCAGCCTGTTATCAAAGCCCAGTGTTGCTCCTCCAGGCGGTGCTTTTTGGACTCTGCTTTATGAGGGAGCTGCAGAGGACAGGGTACAAAGAGATCAAACGTCATAGCTCGGCTGGAGCTCAGCTTTTAGCGCATAGTTCACTTCAGTCTCCAAATTCTCACCACAGTCAATGCAGCCGTTTCAAATCAATAAGTTAGCATTTTAAATAACTTGATGGTGGTGTCAAACAAATATGCATCTGTCAGACTTGACATGCTTAAAATACTGTCTCATGTAACTTAGTTTCAGCTTTATTTTGATCCAATATGAGCCCTAAGTTTATTTTGTAAGCACAGTTTAACATCTTTTAGCTTAGCAGCTATGGTTCTGTGCTATCTTTGCCATCTTCATAAAATAAAAATGTTGGCTGTTGTTTTAATCTTGGCCTTTTAAACACTTGTTTTCTTTTTATTAACTATTGTCTTGGAAAACGTTTTTGTATTAGAATATTTTTGTTAAATGTCACATACCCAAATAAAGAGGAGTGATTGGTAGTAATTAAGCTGTTAGACGCTAGCTAAGCAGCTTAATATTTTAGCATATTGAATCACATTGCTGCTAGAATACTTTTAATGCATGCTAATTTGATTAGTTTAGTAAATCATTAGCATTTTAAAATACTAAAAAATTGTATTTTATTCAGTCTTAAATGAAAAGTACAACAGCTAGGCAGCTAATTACCTAGGAGGATAATTCCTGTACACTGTGTGCAGAATTATTAGGCAAATGAGTATTTCGACCACATCATCCTTTTCATACATGTTGTCCTACTCCGAGCTAAATCGGCTTGAAAGCCAACTACCAATTATGTAAATCAGGTGGTGTGCATCTCTGTAATGAGAAGGGGTGTGGCCTAATGACATCAACACCCTATATAAGGTGTGCTTAATTATTAGGCAATTTCCTTTCCTTTGGCAAAATGGGACAGAAAAGAAATTTCACACACTCTGAAAAGTCAAATTGTCAGATGTCTTTCAGAGGGGTGCAGCTGCAGTTTGGAAATTGCCAAGCTTTTGAAGCGGGATCATTGCACAATCAAGTGGTTCATGGCAAATAGCCAACAGAGGCGCAAGAAGCGTGTTGAAAAAAGAAGATGCAAAATAACTCTCCATGAATTGAGAAGGATCAAGCAGGAAGCTGCCAGGAGGCCATTAGCCACCAGTTGTGCCATATTTCAGAGCTGCAACATGTCTGGAGTGCCGAGAAGCACAAGGTGCTCAATACTCAGGGACCTGGCCAAGGTAAGGAAAGCCGAAAAAAAGGCCACCTTTGAAGACAAAACATCAAGATTGGGCCAAGAAATATCTAAAGACTGATTTCTCCAAGGTGTTTTGGTCTGATGAAATGAGAGCGAGTCTTGATGGGCCAGATGGATGGGCATGAGGCTGGATCAGTAAAGGGCAGCAAGTTCCTTATAGACTCAGACTCCAGCAAGGTGGAGGTGGGATAGTGGTATAGGCTGGTATCATCAAAGATGAGCTTGTGGGACCTTTTCAGGTTGATGATGGAGTCAAGATCAACTTCCAGACCTACTGCCAGTTTCTGGAAGACACCTTCCAACAGTGGTACAAGAAGAAGTCGCCATCATTCAAGAAAAACATGATATTCATGCAGGACAATGCTCTGTCACACGCATCTGGATCGCAAACAAATCACGACAGTGACAAAATCTATGGATGGAAGGCTTTTGAGCATCATGGTGAAGAAAGGTGGCTATATTGATTACTGTTACTGGACACTCGTTTTTTGTTTTTGAATGTCGCAAATGTTTATTTCTGAATTTTGAGTTGTTATAGTGGTTTACCTGATGAAAATAAACAAGTGAGATGGGTATATATTTGTTTTTTTATTACATTGCCTAATAATTTTGCACAGTAATATTTACCTGCACACATAAACATCCTCATAAAATGACCAAATCTAAAAAACAAACAAAACAAAAACAGATCAACTTCCAAAATTATGAAATTTTGATATTAAGGAGCCTTATAGGTTGATTTAGAACACAATTATTCCTTAGCTTTATTCTTTTCGTTTTGGCTTGCAAAGCATTTCTAGTGGCCAATCTCACCTATAAAGGGTTAGCCTCTAGGCTGGAAACTGCTCTAAAGTTGCAAGAATTCTTAAGTTATTGGATCAGATTTGCAAACTGATCTAGAGTTCAGTTGGCTGTTTGTAGGATGTTTCTTCTTGGCATGTAAGGAACGAGAGCCTGGGAGACAGCTGCATGCCTTGTCCGGACTGTTGACCTCATGCGACTGCTGAACTAAATACCAGCTTCAAGAGTGTCTTTTAATAATATTGTGAGTTAACTGATTTGTATTCCCAGTTTTTATTCACGGCTCTGTTGTATTTATTGCAGGCCCAAGACAAAAGGAAAGCGCTGGAGGAGACCAAAGCCTACACCACCCAGTCCCTGGCCAGCGTGGCCTACCAGATCAATGCCTTAGCCAACAATGTCCTGCAGCTGCTGGACATCCAGGCCTCGCAGCTGCGCCGCATGGAGTCCTCCATCAACCACATCTCTCAGGTCAGAAAAACCCACCGCAGGCCCAACAGCTGCAAAAAGCTGTGCCCTACCGTTTCTTAGTATCTTAGTTTATACGCAGACGTTGCTGTTTTTAAATCTCAGCTTGAACCACAGTTCCTCTTACTGGTGCATCATTCTTATTCAAGACTTGTCTGGCTGTTTATTTATGTCAGAGGAAATGCTCTCTTTCCTTTTTTTTAACTGATGCGACTCAAAAAGGTTTTCATTTGCAATTATTGGCCAGTCATTTCCGGTGCTAATGATAATTAGTTTTTTTTGTTTGTTTTTTTTTACTTGTATGTAGCTGTAGAGAAGGAGTCACCAACATAGCAGCAGGTAGCCCACTGGAGCAGCATCACCTCATTCTATAAAGGGCATAGCTCACCAGTTAACTGTTCCTATAATATGATTTTATTCTATTGCTCCTCTTTTTATGACACTCATCAGTGTGATATATGTTTTGTTATACATAAACTTTTATTAAACTTTAACTCGTCCGCTTCAAAGTTCAGTACGCATTTACTGCATTTATGTGGGTACACTTATGACTCTGTACCTACTAAGCACTAAGTAGCAGTGATCCCTGCGGTGGAGTGACGGTGTTTCATAGATCCTAACTTCAGTGCATTCACCAAACTCTGAGCAGTCGAAAATAAATTCAAACCTTTATAAAAAACTACAGATTTAGTCATACCTTTGGCTGAGATGGAGAAACCCCTGTTCAGTCACCACAAACATGCACATCCCTTTCAGGTGAATATAAAATCCTTTTCTTGAGGTAATTATAGAGGTTAATTGTGGTTTAGAAAAGATGAGGTGTTGTATCTTAAATCCTATCAATGCTAAAGGATTATAAATAAAATAAGAAAATACAGAAAGTTTATTATTATTAATTTGTTTTTCCAGTTACATTGAATTCATTTCCTGCTCCACTCTCCATGACAACCACCATCCGCATGGTTGTTGATGTAAAAAAGAGTCTAATTTAGCTCGGTAAGGTAACCCAAATGGAGAACTTCCAACCTAGTTTACATTCTTACACATTTGTCCTCGCTTATCTGACATGAGTGGGAGTTCCACTGTTCCTTCGCTATATTTAAACCCCTTCTTGTGACCTTTGTAGATCTGGAGTTAAACATGAACTAGTAGTATCTTTTTGGGTCAGATGAAAATTGTTGATCTTTTTCTATTCTTTTTTTTTTTATCAATTCCATGCATTTTAAAAGTACAATTTCCATTTAACCAATGGGAAACCATGTCAACATTGCTTCCTTTTATAACATCATCATCTAGTGGTATGTTTCTTTCGTTTAAAGCTCATCTGAGCTTTAATGCTGAAGGTCAGCCTGCATACTTTAGTTGCAGGCTGACCTTGTAGTTGTTACCATCTCTTTCTTCTAATGTGGAGTATTGCCACCCTCTCCTTTACTGCTTATGGAAATAAAATTAGCAGAATTAATTAGACCGCAGTTTTACACATGCCTAAATCACTGAGTACATTTAACATAGGCGTAAGTCCAGAGTAACCAATAAAACTAAAATGACCATAATAAAAACTCTAGTACAAATGCTTTCCAGTATTTGCATAAACAGGATGGATAAGGTAGGAAATGTTGGTCATTATGATAAGGGCCTATGTTTCCTGTGGTATACACACATACTCTGCTGTTGTATTACTGCCAACCATGCTAACATAAGGATACAATCCAAGATGTAAACTATGTGAGGATAATCTCTTTAATTTGAAGTAGTAAAACACCAACATACTACCACTGAATCTCACAGTGACATCACCTTCCCTTATTTTTCCATGGTTATAATTAATGCCAGAGTTTCGTAAAAACTATTGATGAAGAACCAACCACAAAGGTATCGTATCATTTCTTTCTTGATATATAAATAAGTTTTAACAACCTCACAATTTACATAATAATAATAATAGTAATAAGTGCCGTTTTACCTTTTCTTGTATTGTTTCAATAAACCTTTATTTTATTAATGGGAGATCTTAAAATCGTAAAAATTCTAGCTAGTTTTTGGACATTTGTTTCCGTTTCTAATGTCTAAAGTGGAGCTCTTCAACAGGGGAGTCTGCGACCCCTAGGGGGTCCACGGAGGTACTGCATGGGGGTCGTGAAAGTTTTGGTTGTTTAGACTTTTTTTTTTTTTTTTTTTTTTTTTTTTATTCCCGCTTAAATACACATTAACATGAATTCAACAAACTGTAGTAAAAAGATAAAGTCATCAATGCACACATTCAGCGACACATGGGAGCTCTTTCAAGCTGGGCACCGTTTCATTCACAGCACCTGTCCCATCAACCAGGAATCAGAAATACTTTAATGATCCATGGGTGAAATTACTTTCGTTACATGACTCAATCTGTCATAGAGTGACTATAGGACCAGTTTGATATATAACACAATTTCATTCAATATATATAATCAGGGGCTCCATCTCGCTCATCACCGGCTTCTTCAGTTTCCTATATTTTCCTATACGTGAGTCCTCCACTCAGTGGGACATTCTACATATAAAAGTCTTGATGCCTGTGCATTGCTTCTTCATCTGTTATATGTATTTTTGTCCATCCAATATCACCAATTCTTCACCTACTCGCCGACGAGCTCATGTGCCAATTATCCTTACTTTTATCCTTTATCTATTCATAAGTTTGTTTTTTTATTCATCCATTCATCTAAAAGCCGATCAGTCGATTTATTCTTCCACCCAAGCCATCCATTCTGGAGATTTTTGAGTCAGGCTTTAAAACTCTTCATAGTACAGAATCTGCTTTAATAAGAGTTTTTAATGACGTTCTTCTTGCATGTGATTCTGGACACCATGTTGTTCTGATGTTACTTGACCTAACTGCTGCCTTTGATACAGTAGACCACAATATTTTAATATCGCGATTACACCACATTGCTGGTATTGATGGCACTGTTCTTAAATGGTTCAGGTCTTACCTGGAGGAGAGAACTTTTTCAGTGAATATTAGTGGCTCTAAATCATCTGTTGCTTCAATGTCTTATGGTGTCCCACAGGGCTCAATTCTTGGCCCTCTGCTTTTCTCTCTTTATATATTGCCTCTGGGTTCTATCCTTAGGAAATACGGGATTTCTTTTCATTGTTACGCTGATGATTGTCAGATTTATTTGCCCATAAAGCAGCAGGATGTACATTCAATCAAACATCTCCTGGCATGTCTAGGAGATATTAAAGCTTGGTTGGCCTTAAACTTTTTAAACTTTAATGAAAACAAAACAGAGGTGATGGTGTTTGGACCCAGTGGCTCCTGTGAGTCCTCCTCTGTTGACCTGGGACCTTTGCAGGTACATTTTAAACCTGTTATTACAGATCTTGGTTTTAAGGTGGACAGTGATTTTAAATTGGACAGCCAAATTAGAGCCGTGGTTAAGTCCAGCTTTTATCATTTAGGGCGATTGGCGTCAGTGAAATCTTTTCTTTCCAGGCAGCATTTTGAAACACTGATCCACGCTTTTGTTTCAACTCGATTGGACTACTGTAATGCACTTTATCTGGGTGTCAGTCAGTCGCTGCTCTCACGTCTGCAGCTAGTACAAAATGCTGCTGCACGACTTTTGACAGGTACTCGAAAGAGAGAACATGTGACCCCTGTCCTGGCCTCACTTCACTGGCTGCCTGTATATTTTAGGATTCATTTTAAAATTCTTATGTTTGTTTTTAAATCATTGCATAATCTTGCCCCAGCTTACCTCACTGAGCTTCTTCATCCTTACGTACCCCATCGGTCTCTCAGGTCAGCAAATCAGCTGCTCTTGGAGGAACCGAGAACAAAAAGGAAGCTCAGAGGGGACAGGGCTTTCTCTGTTATGGGTCCCAAATTATGGAATGACCCCTTCTTTGCCCATTTTTTAAGCTCGTCTTAAAACCCATCTATTTTACTTGGCTTTCAACACCAGTGGGATCTAGTTTTTAAATTGTATGTTTTTGTTTTTTAAACTGTTTTCAAATTACTTTTATTATGTTGTGTTCTTAAATTGTACAGCACTTTGTATCAACTGTGGTTGTTTTAAAGTGCTTTATAAATAAAGTTGGCATGGTATGGTATGGTACCCATCTGTTCACACCTGTGTATATTTTCTTTGCCATCTCGTTTTCCCTGTCCATCACAGAGATCAGAGTGAGAAGGTTTTTGACATGGTCATTGTGTAATTTGTGACAAACATGGTGTGACAGCCCTGATTCAGATCTAGGCTTATCTGAAAATATGTCATACCAGTTTGAACTGTAATTTCCACATGACTTTGACATTCAACACCCCTTCAACACACACAGACATCCACACGCTTTCAGTGCAAGGCATGCTTGCATTTACCAGAAAATGCATCAACTGCTGCATATGTGGCCTTTCGTTTTAGTTCTGTTGACACCCTCCCCTCTATCATTACCCCTCAGCGTCTCTGTAACACTAAGGCAGGAAGTGCTGCAAACTGAATGGTGTAGCCAGCAGGGATTTCTACCTTGAGCTGTGTGTGAAGTGGCTGCTAAGAGCCTGGGAACAGGGAGCTCTTTGTAATATCCCTATAATGCCCCGGACAGAGGGGGAAGACGGGATGTGCATGTTTGTGGTGTTTGAACAGTGGTTTCTCCATTTCCTGCAGCTTTTTCACCTCATTCAGCTTCACCAAATCAAACCCACAAACGAGCATTCAGCTGTGACTAGTCTTCAACCTGAAGGTAATTAAATTATGAGATGCAAAAGAGGAGGTTTAACTTCTGAAAGGGAGTATTAGAACAAACTCTTTTACATTTTTGTTTTTGTGTTTATTAAAAACCAACATCCTTTGCTCTATTCCCTTTGTGCCAAAGTATTCAGTATTTTGCCACTGATGGGGCTATTAGAGCCAGGCTGTCATCAAAGGAAAGTAAATTGGCTTTTATGGTAGAGGAACAACCCTAGAACCACAAAGAATCAAGCCGATCATAAACAGACTGCTGATGCAACACCTGTA